GGTGCCTGTAGCTCAAGCAGCTAAGGCTCCAACCACAAATCCAGCCCGGGCCCGCCAAACAACGACAGCTGCAATCAAAAAATAGCCAGGCGTTGTGGCAGGCACCTGTAGTCCCAGCTACTTGGGCATTGGAGGCAGGAGAATCGCTTGAGCCCAGGAGTTGGAGGTTGCTGTGAGCTGTGATGCTACAGCACTCTACCCAGGATGACACTCTGGGAGGCCAAGGTGGGTAGACCGCCTAAGATCACAAATTCAAGGCCAGCCTGAGCCAGAGAGAGACCTCATCTCTAAAAATAGCCAGGTGTTGTGGCAGGCACCTGTAGTCCCAGCTACTCAGGAGACTGAGTCAAGAGAATCATTTCAGCCCAAGATTTTGAGGTTGCTATAAGCTGTGACACCATAGTACTCTACTGAGGGTGACAAAACAATACTCTTGTCTCCAAAAAAAAATTAAATAAAGTTGAACTGCATTGTGTGAATTATATCTCAATAAAGCTATTTAAAAAGTAAAATAATAATAAAAATATAATCTTCCCATTCAGAGACTACTTAATCCCTACTGCTTATCCTAGACTTATTTTCTACAAACCTCTTATATCCAGCAATAACACTGCACTATATTTTTTGAAAGAGACATGAGCAGCCATGTAGAGTTCCACTAATATTAATATTACTGTCCTGTTCTATTGTTTGGTTTTGTTTCTCTGCATTTACCTGGGCTTATAAGGCTGGGTGCAGTGGCTCATACCCATAATCCTAGCACTCTGGGAGGCCAAGGCAGGTGGATTTCTTGAGCTCACAAGTTCAAGACCAGCCTGAGCGTGTCTCTACTAAAAATACAAAAAACTGAGGAAAGAGGATGGCTTGAACCCAAGAGTTGGAGGTTGCTATGAGGTATGGTAGGGCAACAGCTTAAGACTATGTCTCAAAAAAAGAAAGAAAGAAAGAAAGAAAGAAAGAAAGAAAGAAAGAAAGAAAGAAAGAGGACTCATAATTCCTTGTACTACTTCCTGCAATCACCTAGCACTACCTATTTTTAAAAACCAAATGTTTGGCCAGATGCAGTGGCTCATGCCTATAATCCCAGAACTTTGGGAGGCCAAGGTGGAAGAATCACTTGAGGTCAGGAATTCAAGATCAGCATGGGCAATACAGCAAGACCCCATTTCTACAAAAAATTATGAAAATTAGCCAGGTATGGTGGTGTGTGCCTGTAGTCCCAAAAAAAATTTTTTTTAATTTTAAAGAACCTACAGTAAAGGATATTAATTCATCTAAGATTTGTGAACAAGTAACAAAGAAAGTATTCCCTGTTTCACCAGAACATCTAACCTAAATATCATACTCTCTTCATGACACCCTAAGTCAAATTCTTTACATGAACAGAGTGGTTCTCAGGTTATTTTTAATGTCCTGTTCAATATTTACAATGTGTAAGGTCAGAGCATTATTCCACCCTGGAGATGAAGAAATATGGTCCAGAAACTTTATATCCTAGGAAATGAACAAACTAGGCCAACAATCCAGACCCTATTATATAAGAACAATGACTAAGGAAAAGAAATGTAAGATTTCAATTCTTAGGATATAATAAACTAGGAAGAGCTATGCCATTCTTTTCAACTTTCAAGTCTTTAAAGAGAGACGTTTCATAAGGTTATAAGCTGCCATAGATAATGATTCCTCTGATGGATCTGTACAAAGTAAATTGAAACCTTCTAAAAAGGATTCATGATTCTATGCCATTAAGAACATTTGTGATTCATGGGAAGAAGCCACAATATCAACATTAGCAGGAGTGTGTAAGAAGCTGAATTAACCCTCATGGATAACTTTGAGGGTTTCAAGACTTCGGTGGAAGAAGTAACTCTAGATGTGGTGGAAATACTGGATGAGGAGTTGCTTCTTATGGATAAGCAAAGAAACTGGTTTCTAGAGACAGAAATCTATTCCTGGTGAAGGTGCTGTGAACACTGCTGAAATGACAACAAAAGATTTGGAATATTCCATAAACTTAGTTGATAAAGCAATAGCAGAGTTTGAGAGGATTGGTTCCAATTTTGAAAGAAGGTACACTGTGGGTAAAATGCTATCAAATAGCATGTCATGATACAGAGAATTCTTTTATGAATGAGTCAATCCATGTGGCAAATTTCACTGTTGTCTAATTTTAAGTAATTGCCAGAGCCAATCCAACCTTCAGTAACCACCACCCTAATCTGTCTGCAGCCATCAACATTGTAGCAAGATTTTCCACCAGCAACAATCACTACTCATTGAAGGCTCAGATAATCCTTAGCACTAATGTATTTTTAAATTAAGGTATATGTATTTTTTTAGACATAGTGTCACTGCACACTTAATGAAACTTACATGCACTGTACTGAGAAACCAAAAAAAAAATTTGTGTGACTTGTTTTATGGGGGTAGTCTGAAACTGAACGCACAGCTTGTACTTACTTGTTACAATTCCAGCCAAAGCAAAAACAAACTGATTTTCATCTGAGTTGAGCTCCTTAACATCACCATCCAGTGACTTCACAAAACTCTCCATTGTCTGACCAGTGATGTTGAAAAACTTCAAAGCTTTATCCTGAAAGTTTGGAAATGAAAATGTTATACTTTCTCAGATACCAGTGTGAAAACATTTTAAAAGTGCAGTATACAAGGCAGCGCCTATAGCTCAAAGGAGTACAGGGCGGGTCCCATATACTGGAGATGGTGGGTTCAAACCCAGCCCTGGCCAAAAACTGCAAAAAATATATATATATACACACACACACACACACACACACACACACACACACACACAGAGTATACATAAGAAAAGATTCCAGTTTTAATTCTAGAAGCAATAATTTAGTATCCATTAACTACGTTCCCCTTGAGGGCAAATTTATAATATTTCATGCTTGTAATCCCCAGCTCCTGGTGAGGCTGAGATGGGAAAATCACTTGAAGCCAGGAGTTAAAGATCAGCCTGGTCAAGACAGCAAGACCCCATCTCTTAAAAAGCTGGACATGGTGGCACACACCTGTCATCTCAGCTACTAAGGAGGCTGAGGTGGAAGGATCCCTTGAGCCCAGGAATTTGAGGTTACAGTGCCCTAAAATCACACCACTACATGTTAGCCTAGGCAACAAGACAAGACCTTGCTTCTTTAAAAAAAAAAAAAAAAGTTCCCACTGAAAAGAACAAAGAAAAGCAGCTTAAGGGCAAATGGAAGCAAGAAAAATTACCCAGAAGATTGACAGAAAGAATAAAATATGTATTTGGGAAACAGAACAAATGTACAACATGACAAAGCATTGGGATGAAACCACTCAAAAGTACAACAGACATACAGGAGAACCTCCATAGTTGACCACCTCTCTACATTGACCACCTCCTTAAGCTGACCTAATTTTCACGTCCCGGACATGCACCACATGTGCTCAGTTGAATACTGACCTCTGTATGTTGACCACCTTGTAATGTTGATCACTTGGACTGTATAATTTACCCTCTATAACGTGACCAGCTGAGTTCACTTTACACCAAGGACTAGAAGATGTGGGCTTTGTCTCTTAGTTGTATTTTCTTTTTCTTTAGTGTATGTTCTTTTTTCATGTTTTCTTATTATCATGTGTTGAATTAGGCCTAATGTCCTGTTGTTTTGTCACGTGTTGTGGAAGATTTTTCAATAGGAAAGATTTATCTGAATTATAGGTATATCCTCTAATTATGGAAAATTTTACAGATAATCAAGACACGATGGCCCAAAGGAAAATAACTCAAAGAGCTGACACTGAAGGAAAAGGTTGGCCTTCTACATTTTCTGGAAAGCAGCATCCAAAAAGAGGTGGCAGAACATTTTGGTATTAGCAAGGTCAGTTAGCAACATCCAGAAATGTAATCATCCAAA